ATGTTCTCGGGTTTTTGGTTCCTGTTAAACCACATTTCTTTTATTTGTTTTCTTTTTTGCCCACTTTGCAATTGTATCTGTTTCATTTCCTGCTGTCTTGGTCAGGTTTTTCACTTCTTCTGCTCTTCTTGTAGCCAGCCCCAAGTGGCCATTTGAGGAACTGTAAAATCTATTGCTTGAGTGCTAGCTTTATTTTTTTAGCCTAACAGTTAGCTTAGATTAGCATAGAGAATGGAACAGAGGAAGTAGAGTGCAGAGACTCTACCAACTACCCCAAAAACAAAGCAAAACAAAACAAAAACTAGGTCATCTCTTGACTCAAACAAGAAACACTACATGTGCAGGCTTGTACTTTATAGTATTTTTCCCTTTGTGCTAGGACCACAGTTTTTCTCATACAAAGCTATCTGTGTAAGTTTGTAAAACTTCACTTTCAGTGGGCAAACAAGAGAGTAATACTGAGAAATACAAAAAACAAAAACTTTTTTTGGCACTGATGAACTCTGTGCTAATGAGAGTGCTGCTATTATTGTAACGTCCTGTTTGAGCAAGTGAGCACAAATGGTGCGACTTCATTTTTTTTTGTCACAAAAAGAGGAAGCTTACAGTTATTCAGTGACAACACCAGTGACATCATCGGGTGCCAGCATGTCTGTCGGCACATCTGAGTATGTGCGACTACTTAGAAACCAATGCAAAGACACATGCACGCACACACACGCACGCGCTTCAGACCAGTCAGACAGCGCTGTCTTCCACCTGTCTCCAGCGTTGCCCGTCCCGGTCATTAAAAGGGTCCCAGAGCCCCACTCTAAGTGCACATGTCAACTGCAAAATTACAGGGCACGCACAAACACATATTTGTTGTGTATTTTGAAAGGGTAATATCTGTCTGCACGCAAGCAATATGTTCATTTTCCTCCTGATAGCTCCTCCTCTTCTCTTTGTGACAAACCCAGAAAACAAAGCAGGTAAGGTTCAAAGACAAAACAAAGGAAAGGAGATAAAGACAGGAGACAGGTCGAGCTGATGGACATATGACATAGGGAAACTTATCATTTCCCTAATGATTCTCCGGTTACTGTGGACTTCACCACAGTGATTACAAACCACTTCTTTAACTGAGGTCGAAGTATCATGATATCTCAGTTTTGTTCTACCACTTAGCTCCCCCTTTTTCTAACTAATAAAGACCACAAAGCCACTGCAGATGTGTGTGATGAAAGCATCGCTGTTTGAAAACATGAGTGCCAGACATTGGCAAGACTTGATTCAGTGTAGCGGGAAGAAGTGCACAGACAAGTTTGACCGGGAGGAAAGACGCAGCATAAAGGAAAACAAATTGCTTCAACTGAAAGATGAAGATCTATTTTCAGACAGTGACATCATCGTTTCTTTTCGCTGCCATTACTTCTGGGTGCGTGAATACGACAAGGAGCACAAACAAGCAATCAAAAACCCTTGGCACCTGAAAGTTGTGTTGTTTTAAACCTGCCCTTTTATTCTCAGCTCTTTCACCGCGTTGCCTTTGGGTAACCTGAGTGCTCTCTTTCCCTTTTCAACATGATCGGTACAAACAATGGCAAACGTCTTTTCTCCTCGGGGTGATTGACTTGGTCTTATTGCGGTTCTTATTTTATGCTTTTCTGCTGAATGAAATCTCGGCTGTATGTCTGAATAGATGCTGACAGGACCTTATTAGCTGCGTTATCCCGAAATACACAGACGTGAGATCACTAGTGGACAACATTGGGCTTGTTGTCACAGCTCAAACCCAATTTTATAATGGCTGTTTTGTCACTTGTCAACATACGGCATGAGTCACGGCATCTTGCCTTAGCCCGAGAGTCAATGAAAATGGCACAGTAGCACGTCTGAACACCATGACAAAGGCATTTAGCATTTCCTATAATTTTTGCACTGGTCACATCCTTCTTCCACGTGTGCTGTAATTTCCCTCGGCTGGATACTCAATAACATCCTGTTGTCTGAGGATATCTGAGGGGACAGATTTTACTGACCCCACCACCACCGCATCGTCACACACTGTTATCCCAGCCCTGGCTAATGACAGCCAGCCAGGAAGCTGTCCCCTGTGATCTCTGTGATTAAAAGCATCCTTATTATTGCCTGGGTATTGTTTTGTTGTGTGTGGATCCCTTTGGACTACTATTATTAAATCGAATTACTGGGACTCGACTGTGACACCAAGAATCTTCGGGAAACACTTCATAAAAGGAAAATGCACAGTGACAGCATCTGAGATGAAAAATAAAAAAATGTCACAACTAACTGCACTGACAGATTACATGAAAACTAGTCAGCCTGTCCCATGATAAAAGATTTATAGCATACATAATATTTTGCACAATGTTGATCTTACTTTTGCTCTTTAACTTAAACCTATTTCTACTTTTTTAGTCACTTTTGCATATATACATTTGTACACTGTCTCACAGCATAAGGCCCTCACTTTGCGCTTTGTTGCATTTTTACTTACTTATTTTAACTATGCTGTTTATTTATTGTAGACTGTACTATTTTTATTCATTATCCTGCTGCTGTAGCATGATAATTTCCCTTATGGCATCAATACAGTATCAATCTATCTGTAGATGCTGAAGAAAAGCTTAAAGACAGAGCTGAAGAAGAGATCTACTTACTTACATAGCTCTTATAATGACTAAGCGATGTACAGATTTCACAATCCGTACAAAACTTAGATCTGTTTAGCACAGTTCATCTTGGTACATTAAATTGGTTTTTCCAGTCAGGTGCTGATATCAGTGTCATCTCTTCTCCTTATATGGGCATCATCGGCAGCTTTCTTTATGCTTTACTGATTTGTTCGTTTTCTTTTTGGTTCGCATTTTAGTCAAACCAAAACCAAAAAGAGCTTCACACATGCAATGAAATGCAGTGCATCACAGGTGCCAGCCTGAGTGGAGGTTTTTTGAATGAGATAAATTTGTGGTAACCCTACACGGTGACACAACAGGTGGTCATCCTTCTTAAACCCCTGCGACAGAGACAGGTGCTTCCGACAATGAGGGCTAGAGTGGGGGTGGGTGGGTTGCGTGGATCTCTGGACAGGCTTTGGACAATGGTGGAAATTGGGCATGGGGGGGTAATTCATGCATGGGCAGCTCCTGGCCCATCCCAGCTCTATGTCAAATATACAAGTGCATGAACCCAACTACTCTATGAGCATAAAATAGTCCGCATTGCAAGGTAAACACAAACATGCTCATTCAAACTGTTGAGTGTTTTTTTTTCTCCTCAGTTTGTCAGGGAAACAGAGGCGTCAGAGGACAATGGCCTGACAATCGGCAAACAGGAAGAGATCCCCTTCGCACAGAAGGGTATTCCTGAGTCCAGCTTAAAAAGGGAAGAGGGCTGGAGGTGAGAGGGGCTGTGGGGGTGGGTGAGCGCAGCGACAGCACTTTGACCTCAAAACACCACCACAAACATTTCCGACCTAAAAAAAAATCCATCTAAAGAGATCATATCTATCCGCCCAGGAACAATGCAACAACCCGAACACAGCAATGACACAACCTGAAATATATCCCGCTCGTAACTACATTTTCTCAACAGAGGAAAAGACAACACAGGTGAAACACTTCTTGCTTTTCCATCACCTGCACTTAGCTTCTCTCATTCTTTACTTTCATTGTAAATTCACCCATGAAAAGATCTCACTGATTAAGAATCTTTTACAGTCTGAACTTTTCAAAGCATTCCATCCGGTTTGACCATGTGACAGCCGGGAAATGCTTCAAGCCAAGTCTAAAAGTAAAAACACTTTCCAATCTCCCTGCAGACATCTGCACATCTGATCGCCAGCGGTATCCCAACAATGTGTTTCCTTTTTGATGCAAACGCAACTACATAATTAAAGCTGTCACAAGCCTCTTATCTGCATACCTCACGAATGACATGAAGTTAAAATGTTGCGTCACAGATAAATAAACTTATATAAAACAAGTTAGATCACTGCTGGAAATACATTTAATTCCATTTAAAAATACACATAATAAGCCAAATAAAACTAAAGCCCATCAGTTCTCTAAGAAACACACTGTATCTTATAATTAATCACTTAGTTCCGCTCATTTCCTCAAGCTATGAGCTGCCTCGGTGAGCCTTATCCTGCGCTATCAGTCATTGTGTAAGAGTAGGTGCCAGAGATAATAATGGTCAAATCAGCGCTGATTGATTAAGCAAGAAGTGGAAGGAAGGGAGGGGACGATGATGAGCAGGAAGCAAAAAGAGTGAAGAGTTGACCATCCTCTTGTGCTGTCAGATAGATAAGGCTAGTGATGGAGATTCCCAGTGGACTCAGATAACCTTTACCAATAATGTCACTATTTAACAAAGCTGCTCTGTTTAGAGTGGACTGCTAACCTATCAAAAAAGAAAAGAAAAAATAAGATAAACACTGTTTACAGGTCTATACATATTGTGTATTCATTTCTAAATTGAAATGACTTCTACTGGAATTCCAGCTTTATCAAACTGTATTAGTCTATTTTTGCAAGTAGACTGAATAAAACTACAAAGATCAATAGCAAACACAGAATTCGAAACTGTAGATGTTGACAAGCATCTGACATTGTTTTGAATTCCTTTTAAATTTACTGTAGCAGTTTTTTCAAGAAGTGTTTCAAAGCTTAGCTTAGACCTTGCCATTAAACACTTTATGCTTGCATGAATCCCTGGTTTAGATACAGTTAGGTACAGACTATTTAAACTATTGCATTTCATTTCTTTGTCAGTTATGTTGCTTCTTTAAAGAAGTGTGTAGGCCTACAGGGGAAAGTACTGAACCACGTAATCTCCATTTTATTTGTTTTATTGCACGTAATAGACTACATAAATGATTTCACATTAAAACCTTTTAATTGAGGTTATTAAATTTATCTTAAGTGGTTGGTTAAATCGGGTTCCAAGAATCGTCTTCTCGCTATTGGCCAACAGGGGGCGCTGTAAAACATTGGTTGACAGTCAGTGAATTCTCATGAAAGCGCTTGTTGGCTGTGTACAAGCAGCGGTATCTTTTCCACACAAAAGCTTCTGCGGTTTAAGTTTATGTTTTACAGGGCCGCGAGAGTCATTTCAAAAGCACCTTTCCAATCTCTGCGGCAGCTTTTTTGGTTACGAAATTCCCGAAAACTGACGTCCAAAATGTCCTTTCAGTATCCCCAGGCTTACCGCGACGAGTCAGTTGTAAGTAAATGTGGGTTGCTAACTAGCCTAGCGTGCTAATAAGCCGGGATGCTTAATCATCACGCGCTTTCATTCATTGAAAAGAGCGTTCGCTTTGTTAGCATGCTAGTTAGCTTAGCCATCACTGGTAAACCGAGATTGGCTATGTTGACAAAAATGCATGCATTTCAGAGATAGCCATAACTTAACTACAAGTCCAATTTTAGCCTTTCAAGATGCTACGTGATTAACTTTACTCAACACTCTGGGTTTATAACCCCGATTGCTCAACTCTGTTTTGCTTAGCTACTTCACATTTTAATCATTCCTCTGTGGCTGGTCTCAGGTGGATGACTATCATGGCTGCAAAGTGCCTGACCCTTACAGCTGGCTGGAGGACCCTGACAGTGAAAAGACACAGGTAAACTCCCCGTTACCACTCAAATCACCAGTGAATTCTGTATTTTTTTACTGCCATATTTAGTTGTTGTGTCGCGTTTTGTAATTAAGAAATGTGGGCATGTGACTTGATAGTTAAGTGTTGGTATTAAAAGTCACGGGCGCATTTAAATTGTAGCATCTTTTGATTTCTTTCTTTCTTTTTTTTGCATATTTGTCATACTTACGTGTTTCAGATGAAGCACCTTTTAATATTAGTATAACCCCAGTACATATAAAATGCTTAGCCTATCAGAGGCATTATAGAACAACAATATTGGATTTTCATTTATATATTTCAGTTCTTCCATATTCATTATGGATTTCTGTGGAGAGACACTTGCTTAAAAAGCATAAACTAAGATTAAAAATTGTGTACAATCATGTACGTGTACGTTTTGAGGACACGTTAGCATGCACTGTAATCCGTGCATATCAGAAAATTGGTGCACCGGCGTTAAAGGTTTTGTGAGTGAGAGGGATGTTATTCAGTTATGTCCAACTCGTGAAGCTGAACTTAATAAATTGTGCATAAATAATCACTATTTATTCAGGTTTGGATGTACGTGTTTTTAAAATAGTTTTATGTGTGATCAAATCGATTTGTATGTGGATTGGAACACGCATCTGTGAGTCCTCAAATGTTAGACACAAAGTACTATACACATTTGTAAATCATATTTTTCTCCGTA